GACCAGCCTGGCCAACATGGTGAAACTCCATCTCTACTAAAAATACAAAATTAGCTGGGCGTGGTGGCAGCCCCCTGTAATCCTAGCTACTCGGGAGGCTGAGGCAGGAGAATTGCTTGAAACTGGGAGGCGGAGTTGCAGTGAGCTGAGATCATGCCATTGCACTCCAGCCTGGATGGTAAGAACGAAACTCTGTCTAAAAACACACACATACACACACACAGAGGTCTGAACCTCTTTACTGCCAGTTGCATTTCTGTGTTTTCCAAAGGGCTGCTACCTTATCACAGTGGACTTTGACATACCCCTGTATGTCATAACCAACTATATGGGGTACGAATAGAAGATGTGAAATTCCAACAATTATAACTTGTGAATATGGCCTGTCAAAGAATAAAGGCTACAGTGTGAATAAAAGGATATTCTTTCCCCAGTTTTGCTAAATTACATGTTAACTCCTAAACTTTTAACAGATTTTAAAACTTGTTCATTTCTCAAAAATGTATTATCTGCTCTTTGCCAGGTATTCGCCTAGGCACTGGGGCCACAGCGCCTCCCCACATGTTTGGATAGGCAGGATTCCTACTCCCATAGAGTGAATGTTCCAGGAATCTGTTCACTAGAGAAGCCGGGAGGTGCTGCCTCATGGGATGTGCCCACTACAGCGCCTCGTACGTTGTAGGCCCTCAGTAGACCCTTGCTGCTGAATTAAGTTTGGGAGCAGGTCTGTCCTGTTAAACAGATTATTCAGCAGGTCTAGTGGGATTTTATGTGCAGGCATCTGTCCATTTTTTAACATCCTCATTATTACTGAGTGAGGCTTATTTGGAGAGAACTGCTGAAATTTTTTTTTTTTTTTTTGAGGTGGAGTCTCGCTCTGTCCCCAGGCTGGAGTGCAGTGGCACACTCTCGGCTCACTGCAGTCTCCGCCTCCCAGGTTCAAGCCATTCTCCTGCCTTAGCCTCCCAAGTAGCTGGGATTACAGGCACGCGCCACCACACCCATTTAATTTATGTATTTTTAGTAGAGATGGGATTTCACCATGTTGCCCATGCTGGTCTCGAACTCCTGACCTCAGGTGATCCACCCGCCTCAGCCTCCCAAAGTGCTGAGATTACAGGCGTGAACCACCGCACCTGGCCGGAAAACAACTTTTAATGATCCTGTTCTCAAACTCTTACAACTACAAAATGTTTTCCTTTAGTAGTAGAAGCCATGAGCTAAATAGATTGAATCTTTGTATCAAAGTTTCCTAGGGTATCCTTTTTTAAATTGAAATTGCTGGAAAATTCTAACCTCAGTAAACTCTGGTCTGCTATTCATACCTTGTTAGAAACATGTAAAGCTTTTTTGTGTAGGCAGGAGGAGAAAACCCTTTGCTGTTACGAAACACTTTGATGAAGAGACTGTCTTTTGTCAGAGGGCTGAGTTGGCTCAATAGGAATACTGACAATAATCTCTGTGGGTTAGATATTTTCTGGGACAGCAGGAGCCTTCAGTTTAGGTAATGATGGTGCTTGCTTTGAAACATGCCCCTGAGAACAAGGTGGAAGGACTTCAGAGACTGGATTTTCTTTTAAACCAGCTGCTATTGTCATTTGGTGAGCTGTGCAAACTTAGAATAAGGATTCAGGTTTCTGTTATGTGGATCAGTAAATGAACTCTTAGTTTAAAGGAATCCTAAAATTTCAGGATGAGTACATCCTCCTTGTGTACAACTATTTTGCTGAATCACTGTTTGGAGGGTTATTAAAACTGACACCATTTTTCTTGATATTTATATTCAGGTTTTCTGCTTTCCCAATTATAGTAACGTTGGCAACAGGAGTTAAACAGAAGCATCGCTAAATGACGCATTTGACTTTGTAATAGGAAAAACTTTCAGCCTTAATATTAGTGAATTACTCCTACAGACTACCAGCCAACATTGGAATATGTTGTTATTTTTTTTTTAAAAATAAACTAAAGTAAAATGGGAAAAATATCACGGTGGGTTTTAAAGTTTTCAAAATTCTGGAAGAAAGGTTCTTTAAAAAAATTACTTGGCTGCCAGTACTAATTTTTTGCCTAAAGTATAGAGCTGAGTATCTGTTTAAAGCTAACAGTTTACACCATTAAAAATATATTATTACCTGCAAAGACTCATTAGTGAAAGAATATTCAACATATGAAGGTATTGATATGTTGCAATTCTCAAGCCTGCAATAAATCTATGATGTTTTTAGTAGTTGCCTAAGCCAGGCCAGTTCAATAGGATTTAGAAAAGACCCTCTTAATGAAAATTCTTTTTGTAATCCTGTAGAGATGAACAGGTGTACAAAGCTTCGAAACTATATTATTTCCTTTTCTTTTGTGCCTTAATTAAAACTGTAAGGGACATTCAATATTCATAGAAAACCTTAGGCTTACTGCCAGCTTTTGGCTTCTTTCGGCTATGGAAGCCAGCTGCTACTCAACAGGAAATGAACTTTTTTTAAAGACAAAAAAAGTCCGGTGTCTTTAAGCTAACAGATGAAGTAATATCCTATTATACAGTGTGACTTCACAGGAGCTTTCTTGTAGTTGAGGACTGGTTAAAATTCTGTCCTTAACAGCCTATGAAATATTTAGGAGATTGAGACTTCAGGTTTCTGAGCCAGGTTGGTGCTTTGTTTTACTGGAAATAAGAATTGAGATAAGGACAAGCCTCAAATTCTTTTTTGTTTGCTATCTACTAAAGAGTGCTGTCCTTGGCATCTGTTTCTGCAGGAGCAGGGAAGAGGTTCCTGGCTGCTCTTAAGTAGCACAGGTAGTTCCATAATTGAATGAAAGTGGTTGGTGATAGTCTCAAGTCAGTCTTGATTCTTGGAGAGGTTTTGGCCCAGTTGGGTTTTTTTGGTTTTTTTTTTTTCCTGCTAAGAGACGAGGGCCTGCTATGTTGCCCATGCTGGTCTCGAACTCTTGGGCTCAAACAGTCCTTCCGCCTCGGCATCCCAAAATGCTGAGATTGTGTCTGGAATTGATGGATTCTTGGTCTCACTGACTTCAAGAATGAAGCCACGGACCCTCACGGTGAGTGTTACACAGTTCTTAAAGATGGTGTATCCAGAGTTTTTTCCTTCAGACGTTCAGATGTGTCTGGAGCTTCTTCCTTCTGGTGGATTCGTGGTCTCGCCGTCAGGAGTGAAGCTGCAGACCTTCATGGTGAGTGTTACAGCTCACAAAGGCAGCTTAGATCCAAAGAGTGAGCAGCCGCAAGATTTATTGCAAAGAGCGAAAGAACAAAACTTCCACAGTATGGAAGGTGACCCAAGCAGGTTGCCACTGGGGGCTCCCGCAGCCTGCTTTTATCCCTTATCTGGCCCCACCCACAATCTGCTGATTGGTCTACTTTACAGAGAGCTGATTGGTCCGTTTTGACAGTGCTGATTGGTGCGTTTACAATCCTTGAGCTAGACAGAGTCACAGAGTGCTAGTTAGCTAGATACAGAGTTAGGTAGATACAGAGTACCAACTGGTGTATTTACAAACCCTGAGCTAGGCATAGAGTGCTGATTGGTGCATTTATAATCCTTGAGCTAGACGGGGTCACAGAGTGCTAGTCCTCCAAGTCTCCACTAGGTTAGCTAGATAGAGAGTACCAATTGGTGTATTCACAAACCCTGACCTAGACACAGTGCTGATTGGTGTATTCACAAATCCTGAGCTAGACACAGAGTGCTGATTGGTGCACATACAATCCTCCCCCGTGTATATAAAAGTTCTCCAAGTCTCCATCGGGTTGAGGAGCCCAGCTGGCTTCACCCAGTGGATCCTGCACCTGGGCTGGAAGCAGAGCTGCCCGCCAGTCCTGAGCAGGGCCTGCACTCCTCAGCCTTTGGACTGTCGATGGGACCAGGTGCCACGGAGCAGGGGGCGGCGCCCGTAGGGGAGGCTCAGGCCGCGCGGGAGCCCACCACCTGGGGAGGAGCTCAGA